GCATTCAATATATAAAAATTAATTTTGAAATTTTTAAATGTTTAATAATTTAATTTTTCATTCTGGAATCATCTTTCATTTGTAGAAATCTTCATGTAAAATTTGCTTTGAAATGATTCGTTTTTTTCAATGCAATAATAACACACCTGTAAAAAAAATAATTTTTTAGAAATGGAAGAAAATCAAATGCAATAATCGATATCTATGATGATATTACAATGACATTAGTGCCAATTCGAATAACTATAACTACTGGAAAGATTAGATTATTTCTAATACACTAATAATTCTCTACTATATCTTTTTTCCTCAGAAATTAAATTAGTAAGATTCGATTACTTATTATTTTTAAAAATTTTTTTGCATAAAAAGCTAGAATATAAAATTTATGCACTTTCGTATACATTAAGCATTAGTTTCTTTTACGTCAACGTAATTACTCGACACCCGTCAGCTTTTTCGAGGAAACTAAATCTAAAACAGCGAGGAAACTTCTTCGAAACGTGTAGAGAAAATTATACGACCGAAAACTGTGTACGAATTGTTTCTCATTGAAAATTAACGTTTTAATTAAATCTATTATTTAGAATTTTATAAAAATTTGTTAAAATAGTAATGATTCGTTAATTTTGAAGAGAAAAGAAAAATTTAAAAATTATATTAATCCTCTATCGTATGATAGAAGATTAATATGTCATAAAATCGTATTTTCATTCGTATATATTTTCTAAATTTTGTTTCATATGTTTGTTTATATATTTTATTAATTTAATTAATTTTTTTAATTGAATTAAAAAATTGTGAAATTTAATCAGAAACATTTCCTCTAGAAAAAATTAAATTATAAAATTCTTATTAAAATGCTAATACAAATTGAAAAAATTGTCAAAAGACGTGAAAGAAAAAAAAATTCATATCAAATATATTCTCTTACCAAAAATTAACATCGAATATTCTCGGTCATCTAATTACCAAAAACGCCAAGGATCCTCAATCTTTTAAAAATTTCAAAATTTCCATCTCTTTTCCCTCAAAGCCAAAGTTCTCGTATTCGAAAATGAGAGGCACGGTTCATCGAGCGGTCCACTCGAAGTTACTGCCGTGATAATCTTTATATAGTTAATTGGACGTTGATGAGAATGATAGAAGGATAGATAGAAGAGATAGGTGCTCGGTGTAAAGTGCTGAGTTCGCGAGGTAAGGCCCGCACGATGCAAGAGAAATCCGTCACTACGGCCATTTTCCGCCGTTAAAACTTCTATACGGGTCATGTCTATCCTCGAAAGGAATCGAAGCCGCGGGATAACAGCCTTTTAGATGAAATTGCCTTCCTCTGTCTGTCTTTCTTCTCGTAGACTTTTATCTCAGCCCGTGAAAATAGGTTCCTTCAAAATGGCAGCTCTTCTTTTGTTTTCTTTTCTCTGAATCTTTTATAACCTTTGTTTGTGCTTATCGATACAATTCTTGAATATTTCCTTTGGAAATGGAGCTAATGAAAGCATTCTGATACAACACATTGCTAGCTTTCAAATTTATTTGGAATTTATTACAATTTTAAATGAATATGAATTCTTTGTACTAAAATTATTTATTACGCACTTTATTAAATGTAATAATAAAAATATCTGTATGCCTAAATTCTGTAAACATGGTTGAAATACCTGTAGGAAGATTAGAAAATATCAATAAATGACTTGCTGAAAATCGCTTTGTTTACTTGAACTCGATAGCTTCACGGTACGATAGACACTACTTTGAATTTGGAACCGATGGCTCAACGGAAACTGTCGGAAAAAGCCGAGCGCTATCGACGGAGATCGCTCAAGCGCAAGCGTAATAGAATTGTAGATAAAGCAGCGTACTGCCTTACTTATTCTTGCCGCAACTCCTTTAAAACAATTTTAAAAACAGATTTGTAAAATGATTTGAGAATTACCATTCTTTTATTCTTTTATTAATGTCATTAAAATACTTTTCTTTCAAAATAGCTTTTAAAGGAAAGTAAAAGAATAATTGTGTATGAAACATTCTTTCTTTCATCTAATCTCTAATTCAATTTCAATAAATAAAGAATTTTTTTTTTAATTTATATATTATTATATTATTATATTCATTATTGAAAGAAATATCTATTTCGAAAGAATTGGTTTTCGATTAAAGTTTATAGGAAAATTTTTTTAAGTAAAATTTTAATTAAAATAGATTTATAAAGTAGGAAATTTAGAGTCATGCTAAATAAATCATAAAATTCCTAACAGCAAATGTATCGGGAAAACATAGTCCAACTTCTTGCTATATAGAGTAGCAAGTTTAAAGAGCAAATTGACTCGACGAATTTCTGATGTGGAATTATACGTCCTTGTTGTAACACACTGTCAGACTCAAATTAAGTCTCGGGAAACTGTAGCACGCGGAAGCGTGCGCCTGAATGTTTGATGAGTATAAGCCATCAGACACTGAATTCAAACTGAGATTCAAATTCAAATTTAAACTTGGACTTCATCAAACACCAAATTCAAACTTATTATAGATTTAAATTTTAATTCAAATAGAAATTCAATTATTTTTATTCATATTCTAATTTTCAGACAATAAAAAATTACTAATAAAAAAATTCATTTAATTGTCAATTTGTAAATTATGATTAACTTGGATCAACTTCTTTCTATTTTTTCCAAAATTTTATTGATGAAAGTCAAAGTTGATTTGAAAATAATTCTGGTTGTTCTGACAAAGATTACGTTTTCTTTTAAAGAACGCGTATATATCCAGTAGATAATAGAATGGTGGAACGTAAAAAGAAACGGTTGACATATCGTGAGGGCGATTCTCTCCGGTAGTTCGTGCTCGGAAAGCTCGAGAAGATCATTGAATTTTAAAGTAGAACTACTTCAATGGTGACGCCAATAGGATTCAATTTCAAGAGGGACAAAAACCGAGGAGAAAAATATTGATCAGTAATTTTCAAATTATGATACCGATAGTGGATATATAAAATGTATACAATTTGTATAATATATAAAAATTCTTCGTCTAAAAATTTCTTTTCGATATCAATGAATCATTCTGAATAATTATAAAGTAATTCAAATGAAATGCTAAAATCCAAAATAAAGATATTGACTTCATTTGTTTTTTATATATTCTGACAGTCAATAACCTTAAATTAGAGAACAAATAGCATATTGAAACATATCGCGAGCGATCTATATCAAAATTTTTCAATCTAGAAATCTAAAAATTTCTAAAGATTATAAACAAAGAAAACGAATAAAATTTATTTGTTATTACTTTACTACGATTACCACAAAATTCTTTAACAATTTTCTCTCATTTTTTTCTATTCAAAATATATTTGGAAATTTAAAATCTACTACTACTAGTTACTTTTGCATCGCTTGGTAACGCAACGCAGTGTTACCAAGCATTGAAAAATAAAATAATATGAACGGTACGAAATAAAGAAAGAAAGAAAGAAGATACCACCGATGCAGCTACAAGCAGTGAGGTAGGTGGTCGCATAATATTTTTCTTATTCCTCGATTTGTTCACCTGCGCCCGGGAGCTTGTGTAAATGAAACTCGACTCGGCTCCGTTCACCAACCGTCCACCGATGTCAAGAAAAGGTTGGTATTGATGTATTAGTTCCAACCAAAGATCCTGTGGACACGCTGCCCTTTTGCTTTCCCTCCACGCTTCCATCTTAGGTTTCCATGAAGAATATCGAATGACGTTGTCCAGACAAATAGATCCACGATCGGTCGATGGATTATCATGTATCGGACAACAAACTCGATGTTGGCTTTTGTCTTTCGTTTATTTAAACTGTAACAAATAAAGTAAATTATCTTTATTTTTTTTTCTGGTTTGGTGTATAGATGTAAATGATACTTAATGATCAATGTACTTACTGATGATTCATTGGTGAAATCGATACATACGTTAGTACGATCACATTTTTTAACATTGAAGAGAAAATTGTTATTAATAAAAATAATATGTTTGAATTTAAAATTAATTTTTTTAAAGACCTGTAATTTTAAATTTATTAAAAATAAATAGTTTGAAAAAAGAAAATTGAATTATATTAATTATATATCTTTTGGTTAATTTTTAAAAGATTTATAAGATTGTTCTTGTCGTGGAATTTTAAAAATAAGGTAAAATTTTTTTTTTTTTATAAAAGTCTTAAAAAAAATATATAGATATCCAAAAATAATCGTGTAATTTTCTTCGTATTAAAAATTCATAATTTCATTTAATGTATAATTCATAAATTTAGCAAAAAAAATTAATATTGAACAAACTATGAAGAAAATCAGTATTAACAAGTGATCAAACGATTTCACCAAGAAAAAGGAGAAGCGTTTCACGAATCGGAATCGCTGGCCCGTGCGATTACGAAAATCGAACGAACCGGTTGCTTCCCTTATAAGTAGCGCAACAGCTAATTAACACAAAATTCTCTTCGTCGGTTAACCTCATCCATGATTTTCGTCTGGCGAAAAAGGAAATATCGTTTTCGTGAATTTTTTTTCTCAGACGCTTCATTCGCGTAATCGCGTGGAAACCAATTAACCCAATTAAGCCTCTCGTGTCAAAAAATTTACTTTATACAATTAAAAATTTGTATTACTTTGATTAATTTTAACTTTAAAAAATCGCTTATGATATTCAATGAAATATAGAGAAAATTGTTTTTTCTTTTTTTTTTTTTAATTTTTAAAAAATATATAATTTCAGTTTGGATAGCATTCAAAAAATATTTACCAAATTTTTTCACATTCAAGAAATAAATATATAGACATGATGGACATTTGTGAACATTTGAGAAAGATTGGCTCAAGTCCGTGGGTATGCCACCACCCAAAGAATTCACGAGTATGGAATTAAATAAAAAAATTGTATTCCTAACTAGTGAATTCCCTTTGCGGAAAGGATGATAAAAATTGAGTAACCAGAGAATCAAAATCGAAAGCACTTACAGAATTAAAATTAATTCTTAATCCCAATTTTACTTTACCAAAGTTGTGAGTTCCTTTGTTATTTTATCCAACGTAGAAAAAAACGATGAGTGAAAGGAAAAAGAAATTATTTAAAAATTAAAATATCGTTTGTTTCATAATAGAATTTCCTTTAGTCGTAGATGTAGATCCAAATTTTATAGATGTTCAAATTTTAAATACCTACTAATAAAGTAAATGTTAATAATGAAAAAATTAAGATATCAGTTAAAAATCCAAATTTTAGATACTTATATTCATATTCACCAAAACAATTAAGTCATCATTTCAGAGAGATCAAACAATCTCTCTTCTTGATCAATTTCACGGTCCACTCATCACAAGATTATAGACTCTTGATGCTTGAGGACAGTAGTAGAAGGTATCGTTTCTGAACTAGGTCGAAAACGCAAAACTATCGAGCCTAACAATTCGATTATTGCAAAGTCCATGGCGTGTAACGCTTAGCCAGGTCATCCGCCTCTTGGTGGCGAAATAGAGTGGATCCCGCCGCTGTTGTCCAACACCTACACTCAGCCCGTTGGAAGCTTCCGCAAAGGTGAAACTCAGCCGTAGAAGGCCGAAGGAGAAGAGGGGACGTGGCAACCACCAACCTCTCTCGGTTGTCTGTGTGCCAGCGGCGATTGGCTTTCGCATTCTCT